AAGATCCAGAATTCACCAAGAGCTTCTTCAAGTCACCCTCCCAGAATATTGATCAAAATAAAGACTTAATAAATTCAGATTTGTATTGCGAATGCTCCAACCTTCGAAAAAACATTGTTGTCTAAAACTATTTTCGCCAAAGTCTATTGCCGAAATTTGTCCTGGTTCCAAAATTGTTCTCTTTAGCTAATATAGGAAGTGAGCAGATGCGAGCACTTTCAAAGAAAGATAAGCGTCTCCCGCTGACGAACAGCGTAAAGGGGCAATGTACTTCGATCAAAATATCTTAAAAGACCTTGTGTGTTTTGCGCCGCAGGTTTGAAGCACTGGAAACCCATTAGCTACGATCGAAATGTGACAAAGAATTTCTCCACAGACAGGCCTGGTGAATCACTAATCAACGAATTCAGATTGTTGTATTGAATTTTAATTTTTGGGACACCAATATATTCTTACCTTTTTTCAAGTCATGAGAATGTCACTTGTAAAGCTAATCACGTATAAAAAAGGTTGGATATGAAGCTAAGAGATAAAGTAGAAATGAAAGGGCAATAGTTTGGGGCTCTGAACGGTAAACGTAGTGTGACTTCTGGTTTCATCACAAAGCAGATACAATAAAAGCTCTGAAAGGCAACTTTACGTTGTATTGTGTCTTTTTAGATTTAGGCTGAAGAGATTTCTTTGACATAGAGGATATTGCACAAAAGCATATTCTTCATTTTTGTTCTTTTTTCATAAAAATCCGCACACGAGAAGAAAATTTTTGGAAGACATTGGGCAAACTTGAGTTGTCCATTGCCCCATATTACCCTCCTCTAGGGCCATGTCATTTGGAAAGAAAAGGCTACAGAAAAAGAAATGCAAACGATAGAGTAAGTACTGAAGAAGAGGGGTCTAATGAATTGACAGAAAACGGCCCTAGAGGATGCGAGGGAAAGTGCTACAGAAGAAGCTAAGAAAAAGAGATGTTAGAAACTGACAAGGAATAAAGAGACACAAAAAATGACCCCGTAATGGCGAATTAAGAAATGTTTTAAAGTTATACAACGTGCCAAGAACAGTTTTACTTTGCAGAACAAAACAAAAAGTTTTGAAGCTTTTTTGGAAAATTCACACAAATGATACTTCCAACATAGATTTTCATCCACAAATAACTAAAAGCAAACACATTAATATAAGGGCAATTTTCTTATATTTAAAAGTTTTATGGCTTGATCCACATCACAGGGGTAGCAAGTGGGCATAGGTTCTCTATCTTTGTGTGAGATGAAATATCAAAACTACCTCAAATTATTTCAAATAGATTGATCTGTAGATAGTAAGAACAATTTTTGCCAAAATTGGGATTAGAGAGGCTAGGAGCAAACTTTCTTCACCTTGCTGGCCCCTCCGGATAAGGACGGAAGCACCATGTGAGAGGGCTGGAGGAATGCATCGCGCTTTTGTAAGCACGTTTATAATTTAGCTGCTCTGTGGCCCTAGAACAGAGAATCTGATAAACAGATTTTTATTGAAAATGAGTTTCAAAATTGAAAGCAAATTTGATAACGCTTACACACTTTTTATTATAAGAATACCTAACTTTTTTTCAGCCTCAATGTTCTTAAATCTTTTTGGTTTTGACCCTAGGATTATTCTATAACTATTCTAAACGACAAAAGGTACGTTTTAAAGCATTGTAGTTTTAAAGACAGTCTGTTCTCGGCGTGATGGCTTCTTCTATCTTGAAAGCCTCGTTTTTAAAGGGTCTCTCTCTCTTTTAGCATCCGACAATTGTTATTGAGGGTGAACACAAAAAGAGTGCCTAATCTTGATATCATCGAATTATGGTGGCTCTTCATATGCATGAATATCGTGGCCATGAAAAGAGATTCCGAGAACAATGGGGGACATACTGCCTTTAATGACTCTGAGGCCAGACGGCCAGATACGTCTACTTCATAGCGTGAAACTTGCATTTGTTTTGTTTTCTAAAAAAAATTCAAATTAACAAAAAGAATAAACTTTTGATTCTTACGTTATTTTCAAATTATTCTTGAATTTCAGTAAATGAGCCTCAATATCCTTATAGACTATATTCTTTCAATAAATAAGTGTATAGTGTAGTCCTAGTATAAACGTGCTCAATAATGTTGCATGCTTGGACGAGTATGCTTTTAGAGCAGGAAATTTGCGGTTGCACACTAATTTTTGACAAAAAACCTGTTACTTTCTCCAACGTTTCACTTCGAAGATAAAGTAGCCGTTGATAAATCGCGAGTTGTTGCATTTTTCAGCTAGTCAGCGCAATTAAACCACGGCGCCATCAAAGGACTGTGAATGCTTTGTGTGTGTAAACGCAATTTGCCCTCTTAAATTTAAAGACCTTTGAACTTGCTATGAAACTTGACTCAAGGAAATGGCTTGCAAAGGGCATGGTAGCGCAATGAATGTTTTGATATCAGAACAAAAATTGATTTGCACATAAGAGAAAGATAGCAGAATACAGACGGAAGGAAGAGGTGAAGCCAGAGAGAGAAAAAGAAAAATGTAAAAAACAATTTCTAGCCACAAACGAGCATATTCGCAGCCAGAGTTTAAAGCTCAAGCCTGATTACGAACAAAAAACGCAGAGAAGCTAATACTGCTATGCCAGATTTCAACAAAATATATGTGGCAGATCCGAGACTAGTATTTCTTGTTCCCATTCTGTCGTTTATCAGCTGACACCTGGACTGGGCGGGCAGTTGCGCACTGGTTTTGAGGCAAGTCGAATATTTAATCCAGGTTTAATAGGCAATAACACTCAAACGACACCGCAAAATTCGTAGATCGTTTAGATAACAGCATGAAAATAAGGTGTCGCGAAGTGTAATACTTGATGCGCAGGATATCCTTATAAGACCTAAATTTGAGATCAGAAATGCAAAGAGAGCTTTTACTTGTTCTTCGTTAATCAGCCATCCGTTCTCCGCGAGACATTCGGCAATAAATCATTTTTTAACAATAATATTAGGTCATAACTGGCAAACCCCCGTCGACGCATAAATACCAAGTCGCCAGCCTTTCCTTGAAGTTAATCGTTATTACTACCATGCAATGGCACTCTACAGTTCACTTATCCGCTTGTCTATGTATCTGCATCCCCTGTCGCTGAAATAGTACCAGTCATAAGCAAAATCGCTAGAGATGTTGGCCTATAAATAGTTACATTAGAAATTTTCTGTCTCTTAAAATCGCATGCATCTGAGAAGCTTCCACATTAAACACACAACAAACACAATAAATGTCGGGGTCGTTTGTTAATAAGAAATGGGCATAGTGTAATAGGGGTTTTTGCATCGTATCCTTCCATGTGAAATTAAGAGAAGCGACAACAATCATAATGTTCTCACGACTTCTATCTTCCGATCAAATGATCTTTCCGCGAATAAGGTTAATAACAAGTTCTATGTTTTTTACGCTTCTCGCCACATTAATACATCGTCGAGAGCCTAAAAATACATTGCATCAAATCTTAACCTTATCGCTCTCAACCGTAATTCCAACTAACTCTGTAATAAAGTAACGCGCCCAAAGTATAACATAAACAAGAACTAATTGAAATTCTACAAAGTTACGTATTTACGTGATAATAGTGAATACAAAAGATACTATTCCAAAGAATAATTGGATAAATCGAATATTGATACTAAAATCCCAAAAGAAATAACTAATGAATCTAAAGGTGCAATTAGATAACAAAAGAAATCATAAACAATCGAATGTGCGAAAGATGATAAATTCCTATGACTAGAAGTAACAAAATTAACCAATTCTAAACTAGCACTATTGCAATAGTGTTTTTTATGATAACTTCGCCATATTTTGAAACTTGAAATATGAAAGGAAAAGAGCGTATGAATAAATTGGTGTGTTTTTTCATTCTCAGTCGCTAACTATGCTCATATCTTTTGTAAAACTTTGTAATGATGCTTACATGAATTAATCATCATGAATATTAGCATAATGTAGACGGAATTAAATGACGGTCTCCTAATATTCTAATTTGTTTCAAACAAGGCTGTAAATTGAATTGGTAGATTGGTAGCTGTGTCTTAAATTAAGTATGTTGAGCAACCTCAAGAGGAAGTTGCTGAAAATAAAATGGTTCAAGGAGTTTTGCTCTTGTAAAATTATATACAATGACAAATAAAACTTTTCTACAACTAAGAAAGATTATATAATATTAACTCAAAATATTCGTACCAAGAGTTCTATGTAAATATATTCAATCGTGTACTATGTAAATACATGACTCCCGGCCAAGTTTAGGTAGCCATCTTGGATTCATTGTTCGTTCAGCACTTGGCGTGAAACCTTTGCATATGTGACACAAGGACTAGTTCTTGAACCTCTTTTAATCAATATGTATATTAGTAATTCATTTCTCATGAAACTGCAGCGTGCAACTTTGCTGATGATACAAATATGTTTGTAGTTGACTGTTGTTTAGATAGAATTTAAGAACGGTTAGAAACTGATGCTCTTATTTTATCAAACATGTCTCCTGAAAATTTATGAAATGTTTTGTTGAATGGAAAGATTTCTTCTTGTGGAGCGAATTGAGGCTGATGCTCTTCAAGGATCTGTTCTTGGACCATTGCTTTTCTTTGTTTTCATAAATGTCTCGCAGACGTCAAGTCAATAACAGGTCAATAACATAAAAAACAACCGAGGTACTAAACAATGGTTTGTCAATTAACTGAAAATGGGCTTATGAATGAAAGATGAGATTTAATCCAGATTCTTTAAAGCAGGCAGATGAGAGTTTCTCTACAAAAACTTCCAAAAAGCAACATCCTCTTCTAATTTCTATTGAAATATTAACTTGTTTCTGAAGGGAAGTCAGAAGCCGAAAAGACCGACGAGGTTACTGATATGGCAGGGATTTAGGCAGTAGCATTAACCAAGATAACATAGGACCTTGGAGAATTTCATAGAAAATTGAAGGGGCTGCGTAGCCAAAAAACCATAACATGTTTGCAACACCAGCTTTCCTTTAAATTAAACAATTCTTCAGTCTCACAACTAATTACGTGATTCCATTTTGTATTTTGTGATAATATAGGTTGTCCTCAAATCTTAACTTTCTGAAAGAACTGGTCTTGATCAGTGAGCTGATAAACAACATGGTTTTCAACTCTCAAGTATTAGTATCAAGTATCAAGAATTAGCTAAAGAAGATATATATTTATATAAACTATATATCATATCTTAAAACATACGAGTAGTATAAAACATTAAAAACAATACAATGACATTTACGAATACAAAACTCGAATTTACACTGCTACATTTGTATTTTATAATAGAGGACCCGACTAAATAAGAGTTTTCAACCCAGAAAAACTTTAAGCCCGGTTTATCAAGGTGAACCGCTATGTTGAACAATTTTGTCAACGCTTTGTAAAATCAAGCTTCAATTACGCGAGAAAAATTCAACACGTTCACTCGTAATTTCTCGCGCAACTGCAACTTGCTGTAAAATAGCAGCATGAAAAAGCTGAATATGCGTGCTTTGACGATTTCAGTGGAAACATAGTTACATCAAATTCACGTTCAGCTGGGATTTAGAAAAGGGATGTCAATTTTCTACACAGAAGATTAAAGTAATTTAAATTGAAAGATTAAGAAGAGGGTCTACGCCATTATCCCTTTTAGAAAATACACGCCAAACCTAAACAACACAGAGTGCACTAAAGTTTTGGTTTAACGGGTACCTACGATCTAGAGACGCTCCGACGCCTCTGCACTAGTTATCCAATTGACCTGGCCTAAAATCTGCTCTTCAAGATAAAAAAATCACCTCCGTTAAATTTTTCCCGGACTGAAAAAGTCTTACATAATCAGGCTCTGAGGGTATCTAGTTTTGCTATCTAGTAATAGCTTCTGTAGTTATTTAAAATTTCACGAGAATGAAACAAACCATATAAGCAACTAAACTGGTTTTTTTGCTTACAGAGGAATAAAATCACCCAAATGCCCAAAAATTTGTATCATGGAAGGAAGCGCAAGGACGGCCAAAACATTACCTTAACTGTGCAACTGTCTAGAATGGAAATTTTTAAACTTATTTTTAAGCCAAATTACATATTGCATAACATAAAACTACATTGGTCGGTGTATATTTTCTTCTTAGCTACATTAATAAAAATTAGGATTATATTTGCTTAATTACTAACGGGCCAAGCACTACGGAAACATCGTCGAAAAAAGGCTATAATTTCAATAAAGCAATGAATTTTGAAAACACTGCAGGAATATCGCTTTCTTTTAGATTAGTGCTTGAATAAAAGAAACTGTGAAAGGAAAGGCTTAATAAGACCATTAGATAGAGGCAGAGTTGAGCTACGAATAAGCCACCAAATGCACGGGGCTATAAGGCAAAAACACCTGTCTGTTGATCGCACTGGGCACGCAGCCATTTGCCAAAATCTCAAGCCGTTTAATTTTGTATTTTCAATCACTTAATACAGATATCCTAAGGACAGGTGAAACGAATTCAGAGAATCGTTTGGACTCAATTGTAGTCTCTTTCCAATTAGCTGAATTTCCAAAAGAATTCGAGGTAGCAAGGGCTCTAAAGCGGCAATAAGGGGCTTTAGTTAACAAACTTGAGCATGTTGTTGCAAGGCTGAAGCCCAAATTGAAATAATGGAAGGTGAAGTATTTCCTCTAGTAAAAGCCGAGTCTCAAATAAACGCCTCCCTCTTGCAAACGCCATACATTGAATTAATTAAAAGTTGAATAAACGCGTCTATTGGAAAAAATATGGCTTAAGTAGATTTTATATATTTCTAATTCCATACAACGGAACAAATGAGTACCTACATAGTACTTAAAAGTGCTCAGGTGAATTCAAGAATTCAAGTGCTCAAAATTATGTAATGTGCAGCAACGCCATTACACTCCATGAATGCTTGCTGGTATGATCCAAAGAAGCAGTCACATAGGAAGTAAAAACTGGCAGCAAGTCCCAACCAAGACAAATCGTTACTAAGGCTGTAAAATAATGACAATTCGAACATTAAGTTGTTTAGAATATTCTGTCAAATCAACGCAAAAGGTTGTTCACCAAAGCAATTTTGAGCGTTGGTTGCAAAAATGGACTCAAACCTAGTACATTAACTTTTGTGAGCATCGGGAAGGGAACTCATCTAAACAAAAACGGTATATATCAAATGTCTTTTTATATTCAAAGTAAAATGCTTCCTTGATGGTAAAAGTATAGCCAACCATAGAGAGGTAAAATGTAGTTTATTGGGTTATTGGAATGCATAACAAGAACTGAAGGAATGGGACAAACCTAGCTCTTTAATTTCTTTAAACTGGTGTACTCTGATTCCTTAGCGCTGCCATATGTTACTGTCTGTGCATACCACATTTCTTTTCCCTGCATAAACAAGATAAAAAGCTATTTTGCATAATCAGAAGAAATCGCAATGTCATGAGAGCATCTAAGACCAACGAAAATTTGAGCAAGACATCTTAAGCAACGAGGATAGGGAGCCACTAGAGTTTTATTAGAAATTTGCACAATTATCAAATAACAAATAACAACTACAAAATCTGCAGTCCTTTGTTTAAAAAGGTAAAGTGTGCTCAGTAGTTTAATACAGTGGCGGACACTTGGTCAAATATTTGGGGGGAGGAGGGGGGAGGAGGGGGGAGCCTGTTTATTTAAATGATGACGTCAATTTCCCCCTTTGTTTTAGAACAAAAGACCATTGTATTGGGGGGCGGCCGAGCTCCTCGCCCCCCCCAGGTGTCCATCACTAGTTTGATATGGGAGTTCTCTGGTGTGTTGATAAATGTAAAGTTTTTTAATTTAAAAAAAGGTAACTGAAATTTAACATAAAATTTTGCTTGTAACGTCTATTGAAAAATGAGGGCGATAGCAGGAACGTTGGCACAACCGCCACTATACGTAAAATGCGCAGATACAGAGGCTCGTGAATTGTAAATATACACGCAATATTTTTTAAACGCTTTATAAAATGCCTTAATACTGAGGAATGTCACTAAGGTTACGTAACAGGGCCGACCAACGAAACTAAAAGTTGTTAAAGCAAAAAGCTTCAGGTTTCGGGTATCGCAAATCATCGAATCTCTACTCTTCTCTTTATCACAAGGGTGTTGAAGATTTTCCTCTAACATAGCGCCAAAACATGTTTTTACTAAACAATTTCAGGTTCAGAAGATTCGGAAATAAGAAGCAAAAGAAACTGGATAAACAACTGTGCTTACCTACATCTTGAGGAAAATAAGCAAAGTAAGATTAATGTTAAAAGGTAATAACTTTTTTTTATTTGAAATGCATCTGATTTTAATAAGAAAATTGTAGAAAAATAACAACAGAAGAAATACTTCAAAAAATAAAATAAAATAAACTCTCGTCCCTGTGGAAAGTAAGGAACATACTCCGCAATCGAAACTGGATCAGGTCTTTAAGGTACTGCTTGAGAGTCACTTGAGATACAGTGATGAGCTATGGGGCAAATTGTCAAACACAAAGCTCGATCATCTTCAGAGTTTACAAAACAGAGCGCGCACGCTAATAGAAGGCTCAAGATTAAAGGACGGGTGGAGCTGCAATTGGCTTTCGGTCTCACATTTGATAAAATTTGACAGGGCAGTAATGATCTACAAAATAATAAATGGTCTCTGCCCAGAAAATTTGTAAGGAAGACTTGTCACAAGATCCAAAATATCTAACTAACTATTCAACAAGAAATTGCCTTCACCTAGACATCCCAAGGCAAAACCTAGAATTCTCCAAAAAGAGTTTTTTCTATTGTGGTGCACAGGCGTTGAACAAAATCCCATTACAAATAAGAATGAGCTCCACGATTACCACGTTCAAAAATAAATTAAAGGAATTCTTGCAAAATTAGCATCCTTTCCCGAAGCACGATCCCTAGGAAGACCAGCATTATATGTAAATTAATCTTTACTTTTTAGCTGATAGGGTTTCTGTGTATAAATATCATAAATAATAAAAAAATAATAATAATAATTGAACGTATTGTCCCGGAAAGGAAAACTGAGGTTAAAGATAAGCTCTTTTATGTACCTGACGACGTTCGCAAGACCACAGAACGGTTGACATTTCATCGTTGATTGCTCCGACGCAGCTCAATATCTGCTTATAATCATTTCTGGAATAAAAAGGATACTATAGGTTAGCCATTCATAACATTCGGCCCGCGGGCCATCTCTGGCCCACACCATGATTTCATCCGCCCCGCCGAATGCTTTTACCTCGAAAATATTTTTTGTTAACACTTTCAAAATTTGGAACTCGATTTATCTTTGTTTTTATTCTGTCTGCTCTTATATCTTCTTTTTCACTGCAGTAAATTTTGATATGCATTCCGTAAATATGCTATATTTAATTATATCATCGTTTTATATTGTTTCATTAACTGTTTTTTATTTATTTCTTATCTCCATCTTTTACGCTGCTATGCTAAGATTATTCTAAAACCTTGTAAAATCATCCCTTTTACATGTCAACCTATAAACAGATAAAACTATGGAACCTAATAATAAAAAACCTTAAAAATACTTTCTTGGATTTTCCCCCGTTAACTTCTGCTTGAGGTGCAGCTTCTGGCCACTTTTAGCTTATTAAGATCTAAAAAAATTTCTTGCCGCCAACCATGGTAGCGGACTTTACGGAATTCATCCGCAAGCATAATATTTTAGCCTTTCTTTAAAATACACTATATAGTCCCTTGTCCTGACATCAGCGCGCTTCATGTCGACCTACCAAGAGATGAACAAAGATTAACGTTCTAGCCTAAAAATAGCACAGAAACGATCTTCTTCTGACTCAACCTGGTACAAAAACATAAAGTTACAAACTTTTGTGAAAAACTATTTTTGGGGTCTATGTATTATGCTAGAGGTAAGATAAGCAGGCACAAAATACACAGTCTATCTTATCCCTAACTTAGCCTGGTAAATTTAATTTTGAGCAGCTTTTCAACACGAGGTATGTAAAAGTTGAAAACACAGGGGCTTCCGGAGAAGATCTACATGATTTTAGAACCCCTGCTTTAGGAGATGTTCAGGTTTTTAAAACCAATAACCAACGTTAGCGTTGTTTTAGAAACGTGTGGAGATTTAGAAAACCATTTGGGAATAAATATTTTGATTGGTTTACCATATTTCAATTCTATTGGGTATTAACATTTAAAGAAAGCAATTGTTGTGCGTTCAAGGGGTTTCTGTTTGCTTACTTACCGTACACAAACCAAACAACGAACAGCATCTTCAGAGACCCGCTGCAACTGCTTCAACACAATGTGAAATTTATCACAAGCATCCAACTGATCACTCGATCCTGACAAGCGAGAAACGAAGACAAATCCTGAATCACCAAGACTGAACGAAGAAGCACTGTTTATACTTTTCTTCACAAGAGTGACATGACAACATGGCGGAGCGGCTTCTGCAATGGCCATCGGCTGGCTAATAGCTCTTTCTCTCGCTTCATCCTCTTCAAAATCTTCTACCAGCTTGGTTTCGACCAAATCAGAAATAGGGCCATCAGAAGATTCAGCAAGTGGCTTTGGGCCTTTTTCACCTCGAATATCAAAAATCGTCCGTTGCCAAGTCCAACCCAAACCTCGTTTTTCCGCGGTAAAACCGCAGTGATTCTCGTGCTACTTAGATGTGAAATCTAGAATTGAAACAAAAATCAATGTATACTGCGCTACATATTTTGTCGAAATTTTCGAATCTTAACAAATGTTAATGGGCAAACATTAAAAACAACGAAAACGATGCAAGAAGCTATACTAGGTAAAAACTAAGAAAAATAGAGTAATTTGCAAAACCCTAGCATGAAAAATGAAAGAGCAGGAATATATAGCTTGTGTAAGAGAATTCACAAGGACCTTACAGCTTCATGCACACAATTCAATAAACAGTAAAACAAAGAGGTATCGTTATAAATACATTATTATTGAAGTTATATATTTCAGAGAACAAACTTATTTTCCCATCATTTCAATTTCAAAAGCGTCAGGGGGAAAAATCTGCATTACGTAATGCTACATGAAAACGTAACTTGTTTGACATAAGCTCTTCAATTCATTGTACCTTTTCTGATGCTAACCCACTTTCATCCATAACGTCAGTTGTCATAATACACATAAATGTTTTCTTGTCAAACAGCTGTAAAACTGATGACCTACAAAAATTACCAAACATCTTGTTAGAAGGTTTTTCTCAAAATGCGTAAAGTGTTGGCGAAGTTGAAGCCATTCAAAATCATTTGAATACTTAACTTCACCTCTGAGGCAATTATGAGTCAGAGACTCTAAAGATAAATGATATATTTTCTTGTAAAGTTATCTGATCTATTTCAGCTAAAATTACGTGGTTTTGTTAACGGCTGTGTTAATAAGACCTTTTCCTCGGTGTGGCAAGCTGTTTCTTATAGAATGTCTCGTGCACATTGAAATGAATGATGCGATACGCAAGGCATGGCTTTTGCTTAAATTTGATGGTGTGACGACACGATGGCGGCAATACAAGGCAAGGCATGGCTTTGGGCTTAGATTGGTAAAACGTAAAGCAGCGACATACATTTTCACTAGACACGCATCGGTCGGGTAACTCGCTTACAAAAATACAATACAACAAGGATACTTTCGGGGAATGGAATTTAATAACAGTCTTGTGACAATTCACCATTATACCAAAGTCTATGAAAAAAAGATACCAGGATAGACTCACAGGGAGTGTAAATATATGCCAGTCGAGACAACCAGGAAGGTTTTGCATGTTTGTGTGCACAAAATTATCTTTTTTGAAGAGGCCTTGATCACAAATATAAAGTGTCACTGAACTGAAAACATGCAGGAAGATATTCTTCTTTCTCGTCCCGCAATATTCTGACATATAGCTACTTCTAACAAATTTGTGCAATTATCTATGCATTAACGATCGAGTCTAGGGTGACCACATGACATATAGGGTGGCAAATATGAAGGAAAGTTCTGAAAATACTAAAGCCTTGCTTACCCTCGCACCGAACACCACACCCCGATGTCACTGTCAATCAGTTTTGCAATGCTATGGCGTAAGTTTGGGCACACCTGAATCGACTCAACTTCATCGAGTGTACTGAAAAAGTATTTGATCATTAAAAATTGGAAAAAAGTCTAAAAAAAGGATAAACATGAGATTAGATTGCAAGATTACACTGCTGATATCGAGCCACGAAAGGCGTAAATAGAATGACAAGAAATAGCTTGGTAAAAATTGGCAACTGGCACAGACTTACTTAATATCAAGGATGACAATATTATTACCACAGCCACACCAAAAATAGCTGCCACAAATGCATCCACAGACAACTGGGGCACTGCCAATATGCATGTATACAGGCTTACTTGGCTGGGCAACTTCGCCATCTTGCTGTTAAGATACAAATGCAAATGGTCAGTTATCTTCCTTATTTTGACTCACGTAAGCATGTATGGATGTTAATTACGAAAAAGCTTTTGGAGAGAAAGGGGACTTTGCAAAGAAGATCGTTGGCAGTTTTGCTTTTGAGTTTAAATTTGCTGCAGACGTCGAGAGAACCATACAGAATCTCCTGTGTTTTATTGCTGCATGCATGAAATTTGAAAATTGCTGGTCATTGAATGCTATCGAGGGCATCACCCCCTTATTACTTGTTTTCGCAAGAGTCAATGGAACAAACGATAAAATACATTGAGATAATGAAAAGACAAGAAAAGATCCAACATAAGGATTGAAGATATCACTAAGACAATACCAAGTTAACAAGTTCTAATTATACTCGAAAATTTAAATCATACTTTAAATTATCAAGAACTCAAAACTGTGGAAATAGCAACAAAGGATCACGAAGAGAAGGGTGTTATTGGGGTTGAAATATGACAATTTAAAATAGGCTTAAACTGAAGTGGTCTGAACATAACAATCTCTCAGTGGTCAGAGCATTACAATCGCCGAAAATTTTAGTTATTCATTCCAGAACTTCTAACTTTTAGCAAATTGCGATCTTAAAAGGAACGGGGGTGAGTTACGCAAAGTGGTATGTCAATAAATTATAGAATTTTTGAAAGTAAAATTCCTTAAAAATGCTATCGAATTAAACTGCATAACATGACAACGAAAATCATTCGAATGTAAAAGTAATAGAATACCTGTGCTACAGCAATAGATCCACTTGCCAAAGTTGAGAAAATAACGCCAGATTCGTCACATGAAATGCTCGATACAGAATCATCTACCGGCAGGGACCATATTTCTTTCCTATATAAATATTTTAGAAAGAATTGCAACAGTACCAGGGTTAAAAAAACGAGAAAAAGTAGATGTGGATGCTATAGATAGTCTCAATAAAACTATATCTGCGTTTTGTCAAAGAAAGATAAACCAACCCCGTTTTAGGAACATTCCGAAGAAAAATTACTTTGAAAATAGCTGTCAATTTTCACTACCAAGCTTTCCCTAACATTTTTCACCTGCTTTTATTCGTTTCCTTTTGAAACTGCAATAATTGCCCCTAGTCATATGGTAAAATGACACAAGTTCTACTTTTTTGTTATTCGATGTTGATCTTGGAGTCGCAACACAGCATAGTCCAATGTACATCTTACAAAATATCAAAACTTAAAACCAAAACACACGATCAATTTATTGAAAAAATATGAATGCTTCCTTACCTAGTTTCAATGTCGAAGCCATGAAGTGAAGCATCTGCAGTGCCAACAATCATCGTGTTTGAAAATTTCGATCGCGTCAAACAAAGGCATCTTGATTTGATCTAAAGAACGAAACAAAACCGATGCAATCAGCTAAAAAGGAAGCATGTTATAATGGAACGACGTCCAGGTATCTTGCGTTTAAAGCTTAGTCCTTTAAAATAACTGAAAGGATGGTAGACTATAACAATTCCCAAACGTAGAAATGCATACGAATATAACAGACAATTTCCGTAGAAGGTGATGGGCTTAAAAAACGCAGTTTTATTATTTTATATCTATAAAATGTAATAAAAAAGGAAGGGGGTCAGAGCAATTTTATATCTAGCGGGGCGTCGATCTGCCATTTAACATAAATTCACGTTTTGGGTGGGGCCTAAACTTGCTAAAAGGAGACGAGTAAAGAGTTGGCAGGTGGTTTTGTTCATGTTGATTTCAGGATGTCAGTTGAGGGGGCCATCAGAACGTCACTTGAAAAAATAGCCAACAACCAAATGCTTGAAAAAATGCATTAGATTCAAAAGCAGAGCGGATAAGAGAGCTAGCAAAAATATCATTTAAGGTAGTTGGTACCAATGGTATTTTCTTGTTAGCCACCCAATAAAGTCGGTAATCAGTTGCTTGAAACCACTTCTCTACTTCCAACTAACACTTCTTTTTAAACCACATTCCAAATAATAAAGATATTGTTATAATTGCTTTTGTGCTAACATTGAAAATTTCCAGAAAAATGTCAGTTTGTTGGCTTACGAAAAGAAATAGCAATAACTGATAATGTATAAAAATTATAAGCTTATCGAATGGAAATACAAAAATAGGTATGAAACGATAATGGAAGAAGGCATAAATCACAAAAACAGAAGACCTACATCTCCTTTAATCGCATCCAGTGACCTGTCCACAGTATCAAGAACGAACAACTTTCCGACATTGTGCGTAGAACAGCAAAGCCAAACCTTGTTCGCATTGGCTAAAATGAATAACCAATCCAATAAAGAGAAAACAAGAGAAAAGAGCCAAGACGGAATTTCAAGTCCTACGTACCCGGCGGGGTTCTATGTCTTAGCTCTGCTACTAGTCCCCATTTGGTTTATCACGGTACTAATATCCATTTTTGTGTTCATTTTCATTTACTGTATAGTTATGTTATCTTAAACTGTACGCGGAATTTTAGTTACATGAAACATACCTATGTCTTATGTAGTCCTCATTTCAGGTGATATCAAAGGAGATCAAAGGCGAAGAAAAACTTTAAATGTTCTTGGTTTATGAATTTAAACGTAGCTAACAGAAAGTATCTATTTAATTGATTTACGTACGAAGACTCCAAAAGCATCGGCTTGATATTTAGCAGTAGATTGATGTGTTTGGAAAACTTTCAACAATAATCATATCAAGGATAGGCTCATTACAAAAAAGGAATGGACAATTTTCTACAAGGACTGAAGAAAGTTTAATGATCATCGCAAATGATCCGATAACATTTCACATGCATTCACGCAGAGATGAATGAAGATCCAATACCTTCCGTAGCACTGCATTCAATCATGAAATCTTGAGGTATGTTATCCAATGCTTCGCCAAGATTGATATTAATCGCCTTCGGTTGTGTGCGCTGCAAATAAGAAGACACATTTCTGGCTTACAGCGCACAAGGAACGTTTGAAGAAAGGCTAAAAATTTGCTTAAATGAAAATAGATGCCGAAATCATTGCATGCCGAAATTTGGGCTTGGGTATGATAATCAAGACCAAACTTCCTAAAAGTGTGAATTTATTGTGAACCTATACAGCCTGAAAGTGTTAACTTATTGATGAAGAAGACCAATGTACTGCGAAAAAAACTAACAATAAATGTTCTCTCGGTTTAACGAACTCCCGAAACAACGAATCTCTGGTTCCCTTCAAAGTTCGTTAAATCAGGATTCCGCTGTAATTCAGAAAGCAAACAAAGCTCAACCAGTGAAACAGGAGCCATCTTTCAAAAACCAAACAGAATAAATTTGAAGTGTAAACAAGAAGAAAAGCTTTATCATGTTACCATATGGTGTCTTTTTCTTTCATACTCTTTGTCTTGCTTTTCTCTTTGTTCGTGCGCTTCTTGAATCACACTGAAATGCTTTTCATACATCTTCACCAAAACTTCACTACTCGGAAATGGCTCAAAGCCTTCATAGGCGAGCTAAAGCAATGAATAAGAATGAATAACAAAAACAGAAGCAATCAGGAAAACATGATAAAAAGTTTTCATTTATATAATGATTTATTGGCATAATGAAAATACTGTTTGCCGGTCTGTCATAAAGTGCTGCCAGATGATCGCTTTAGGGTGAAATTCGGAGTGCAGCTTAGACCTGTCCTGTTCTATACAACTAAGGAGTATTTACTCGCATAGACATAATATTCAACTGAACTCCTCGTGTCGTCATTCATATAAAGAAAAAGAATAAGGCGAGCAACCTGCGAAAGGGCCTCGACATCATGAATCTGGCGCCCAATCTTCTTAAGATACCGCATTTGTGCCAGCATGTCTGTCTTGGCGCAAATGCCACCCTCATTCAGCTTCAAAAGTGCCAGCGAGAAGCGATACAAAACCTAAAACCAGCAAATAATCATAAAACAAAATGATATGGAGACAAAATGATTTAGTGATGACTCAACAACAAAAATAATTTCAACTGTATAAAAACAAATATTTAGGGATGCTAATTGCACGTTCAGTGTGCAAACATTTCTTGAAGTGGCACAGGTATAAATTTTCTGACTTTTGATCATTTTGTTAATGAATGTGGAAGAAAAACTTTAGGTGAATAATTCCTCGCAAACTATCTTCATCTTTTTGCTGCACAACGTAAAGGCAAGTAAAAAAAATAAAAAAAATGATTCTATGAGCAGGATCCACAAAAAATTCCGAAAAAGAACACCATCCAATTTCATTATACATGAAAATGGACGTGAAGGTGGACGAGTAGAAACAGCTGTTGTTTTTTGTGCTTTTGTGTTTAAAATGTTGCAATTTCGAGTATCTAACTGAAAATAGTAAAATTCCCGTCGTACCGTATGACCCTCAACAAAGAAGCAGTCCCATATCCGTTGTGCAACCTAGACGAGGAATGACAAAAATAATAAATCATACAGATTATTTCTCATTGAGTAAAATACCTTTTTAGTCAATTTATGACCGCCTAAAATTTTAAATCAAGTTTTCTTTTTGAAAGTCTTGATTATTGATACAGCTTGACAACATTATAAAAGTTGGGAAAAACTACCAAAAACTACGAATATTTCTCTTTTTCCATAGATAAAAAACCATTACTTACCTCTGGAGGAACTGAGTCAATAAACAAAGTCATAAGCCAATTGAACGTGACAGGAGAAATATCACAGCCGTTTTCTTTCGTGAACTGCATTATATTAGGCAACCTTTTCGCAGCTAGGTCTTCGAGAACTTTCTATGAACAAAATGACGACAATATCAGTCATTGTCTGAAGTTATTCGGCCTCGTTTACATACAGAAAGAGGTTTTGATTAGAAAAAGATATAAAGTATAGACGTAAAGTAGCAGTACAGTTCAGGAAGAGAACTAAGGTACCTGGTCTGCTTGAGATCCAGTCAAATAATGGTTGTAATGCTTCTTGTTGAAATAAACCTCAGTAATAGCGACCAAAAGCCTGAAATATCAAAGGACCATACTAACTGCAAAAATCGCCAAAGGCTTGTGTTGTAAACACGGCACCTTAAGATGCGAAATTCAATATTCGGATTCGGAGTTGCAGTGGTAGATATACTTAATTTTAGAAAACAGAGGATAGAAATAGATATAAGCTGTAACCATTGACAAGGAGACAAGTAAACTAAACTTGCAGTCTGTACATTGAATTCTCCATGCCAAAAATATTTTTGTGCCATATCAATGTTTAAAATACCGAATAAAATTATTGGTACCAGATGCAAACCCTGTTGCTACCAAATGCTCCTTCCAAAGTGGTAGAGCATTGTTTGCTTTCTAAATTAAATGTTTTCTTTAAGGACGATCGTGGTTTTAAACTACGGCTTAACCTCAACCTGGGGCTATTTCTGCCTAACGCTATAAAGCAAAACTGGAAACTCTTGTAACCACTATGACCTTTAGGTCTTTATGGCATTAAATCCAATCAATTTCAAATATATACCATACATTGAAAAGCAGGTCTAAGTGTGTAGTCTCATTGTTTGATATTAAAGGTATGCTGATTATCTGTTCTAGCGGCACTTTCTTGGGAACAACATCTTGTTAAATAATAACATAATTATTTATACAGGGTTGCCTTTCCAGCAACAAAGGTGCTGTTATCAATAAGGGCCCTGTTATAACATATATAATCTTAGAAAAAACCCAAACTTTAGAATGGAGTTACTTGCAGTCAAAATCTTGAAATTTAAGCTTTTAAATTGTTCTCTACTTTACAATAATCCCTTTTACGATAAAAAAGTTATTTTTTTCATTTGTTATTTTAAAGGTAGCTGTTTAAGTTATTATGCTAGAGTGGCTTGAGCCACCTGTCAATCAACCATTGACCAATCAATAGGCGCATCAGTAGTATCACACCATTGATTGGCTAATTGTTCGTCGAAAGATGGCTTAATCCTATTGGTCTGTTGCCTTTAATAAAATGCTGCAGAACTTTTTGCAAGTTTTGGAAAAATATCATTTTGCAATTTTACTAAGCTCTATACACGATATTTTCGATATACACAACAGGCAAGTGCATCATGAAAATAGTCATGAATTTAAAGACTCATTGCTAACAATGAGCCATTGCGCTACGTAAGCATCCAATAATGCATTTTTAGACTGTCTAAAATCAATTTTGGTTAATCCTTAGAAAATTACTGCCATTGTTTGGACCGTCACCACGCTCGCAAAGGCCCATTGTTAGCAATGAGTCTTTAATCCCGCTTAAAAAACCAAAGCTCACCAGAAAGCATCCTCTTCAGAGAGGTTAAGTAAGCCCATCGCAACCATGAAGTTCATACCCTAGAAATTAAAAACGATTTATCAGTGATGATCACATATTAATAAACTCAGATTGTTAGTACTGCAGCTGGTATTATAAAACTAGCGTTAGCCGGTCTAGCGTTTGTGGCTTATGCGATGATGACAGCTGCATAACTATCAGCAAACAGTTATATTATTACTATCAGCAAATAGTTATATTATTACTATCAGCAAACAGTTATATTATTACTATCAGCAAACATTTTAAAATCAAACGAAAATGTTGTTGCCAAGTATAACACAGGTTGGATTTGCACAAATGGGTTTGTACTTCAACAAACTGACCAAACAAACAAGCAAACCATGGCAACAAACCTGGCAATATCCAATCTCTGGATTGTGCAAAAGAAACGCTCTCAGCACTCGGAACAGCTTCTCGATCTTAGGAAAAAAAAAGGTTGGTAAAAAAATACAAGTAAAGGTAAATAAATGAAATGTTGAACTTCCCAGAAGGAAGAAAATTGCAATTTTGGAATCGAAAGGGTCTTCTTAAGAGGCTTTCTTGAATAGCTGCATTTTGAACTTACCCCTTCTGATTCAAGCGTTTTGAAGTCGACATGTGACGGCATTGTCCGCAAAAGATCGATGCGAATTTGTTTTTCAATTGAATCATCAAATTCATTTTCAGTGTCCTAACAGAGAAGTAAAACTGTTTTGTTAGTGCAATTTACTTTCTGATTATACTGGCTTCAATACCTCTCCAGTTTCCTGTATACAAATACATCATAATGAATTTTTATGTTACAGCTCCTACTTTTCCACAGAGATTGGATGCACCCGTTTAGAGAAAATTTTATTCTGTTTCTGTTACGATCGAGGATTTGACGTTGCATGAATTTTACAGATAAAAATATTTAATCAAGGCCAATATGGCTTCTAGAAGAAAAATACCAATTATAGTGGCACTTATAACTTAAGTAGCCCGATCACGAAAGCAGCCCGCAGATGTTGCCGGAATTGGTTACAGTGTAAACATTGAAATTTAATGGAAAGTGCGATGTTGTGCCAATCTTCGTTATTGATCTAATGTGATTGATCTTATAATGCATTTTAATACCTCGATGCTTGGTACAAGTCTGCAGAGCTCCTTGTAGTAGTCTTTTCCCTACAAAAAAATACCATATATTTAATGCAACAGATTTCTTCCTACAAAAAATTCACCTTTTTCAAAATAGACTATTTTCGAAGAGAATCAAAATAATTTGATAATTAAAAGATTATTACACTAAAAAGTCAGGCTGTGGCCTACCTTTGCTTCCTTAACCGATTTGACTTTTCTTGATATCAACCTACAAAAATCATTTGAGTCACGTTGAAACCATATCAGGCATCTGAATGCAACGATGCATTAAATTCAGGTAGAAGTCTAGAAACATTTTGTTGTCAAAAGGCAATGGGGCTGCCAGCTTGTAGCAAGGTGGTAGCAAGGTGGTAGCAAGGTGGCGAAGATTCAGATTGCAAAGATTGCAACGTTAGAATCCAAGACCAGATGACATTTTGCAAGTTTTGAAGTCAACGTTTTTGAAAACGAAAAATGAACGGGGAAACAGGCGAGCCGATGTGCTTAAAATTTTTCTCTTTTTTTATTCTTGTTCAGTAAATGGAAAAGCTATGAAGAATAAGTGTCAAGGATCCAACAAGTGGAGCTCTCTTATTCAAGAACATCAATCTTTAACCTTAATGACGCCATTTCACTCTTCCAATTATTCAGAACAAAGAAAACATACCAAATAAAGACTACTTGAACGTACACAATTTTCATTAAAAGTATTTCATAATTACGCCCAAAAATATAGACTACAAATACGTTTGCACAGAGAAGAGTCTTCAACAGTGTTCAAAAGGAAAGCCTTCATTTTTCACCCAACTGTAATATTCTAACGACTCATTGCAAATAAAATGCTTCACTATATCAATACTTCCACTAAACATTGTGCATTCTCTCAGTTTCTCTTCGTTTGGTGTCCTATGATCTGTTTTGTACATGAAGGCTGCACAGGTTTTTGAACGCAAACATTTATCAAAACAATGCAAGACGCTGCAAGCATGGAATTTTGCTTGCTCTTTCCCCTTGACAATATGACAGTATTTGAAGACGTTTTCAACTGCACATCCATCGATTCTACCAACAAAAGATAAAACTATTGACATCATTGCAACGGTGCGCATTATCATCTGTAGGTAGAAATCCTTTCTTCGACAAAGATGCTCAAACTCGAAGATATTTTTTCGGGCAAAAATAATCTTAGTTAGGCACGGCTTCTGTGGTATGAAAAGCCTCAACCCTGCGGCACTTCTAAAAAGTGTAATGTATTAGTAGAAACGTTGATCGCTGATGTTAAACTGGCTGCTTAAAATCTCAACTCAACGATATTTAACAAGGAAATTGGAAGCTACAGATGGGTAAACATTTGAACAGCAGTTGCCGCACAGCAGCAAAGATACAGTGCATATTCAGGCTGGATTACACTATCATCTGCAAGAATATTTTGTTCCATATGTTACATAAGATAACAGAAATAAGTGACAGTAATGTGTTTTTCCTTGTCGTTGTTACAAGTTAAACGTTGCTCCTTTCGGTTGTCAGTTTGGCATAAAGAGTTAAATCCGCGATAGTTTAAGACGTTTCGTTGTTTAAGTTTTTACTTTTGGATCCGCTTTGGTCAGCGGATAAAATACCCTCCTCCCTAGACGACAGGGACAAATAGCAGCTTGCAATTTATAAGGGATTTTATATTATGTCAACTACATAAAATGTCTAGAAATTCACAGTTAGCAAATAAAAGCAAAGTAACCAATTTGATAATAAACCAAAATCAAAGAATCATGACATCATAAAGCTGAAATTTTTAAAATCTCAATGAAAATATATATAATCGGGATACAAAAGGGATTACAATGTAGATTTATATTTTGAAGTCACTTAAGGAAATTGAATTTTTGGCACATGCAGAAAGCGATTGTAAGAATTGTGACAATGTTACACGTATAGTTTCCATCCCATATCAAATCGGTTTTACCGCAAAGGTGGCTATTTTACAGGTATATACTTCTTGTATAAATGAGAGGTTTGCGGAAATCACTGTTTCACAGGTCTGTTCGCATGAACTGTGTTTGATGCATATGTTTGATGCAGTTTGATGTATAGGCAGAGCTGCAAACGATTAATACAATGTGAAGAACAGTAAGGTTTTAACCCAGGGTATAGAAAAGGATTGAGTTGCAAAGAACATAGAACTCTCCAGCTATATACAACAAAGTGCAAATGGGGGCTTTTAAACATCAATCGTTTGTGCATTACAGTCAGCATCCCCTTCATGATTCTAACATGCATATTTGTAAAACTATATTTTCAAGCAAGGACACACAGCTTGAGTTGTGGTCTTTGTACGTAATTCTCGGTGCACGCGAACGTGAAGCTAATTGATTTTATTGTTCTTTTTCATATCATGAAACATCAAGATAACGAGCAATAAAGGAACTGACTATTTACGTTCTCATTAGCACTCATTAGCAATCTTGGTTTAATTTGAGCCACGAAAAGTCCAATGCGAAAAAGGGCATATAATTTATTGCTGACTTTCTGGCACAGTCTGTATTGTATCCAATTGCGAACATATAAGGCGTGAGTTTATGTGCAGCTAACTGATTGCGATTGATGTATTCTAAAAAAAACATCCACCATTTTAATCTCTTTCTTATCAAATGGGAGAAGCGTATCCCTCTACAGGGAACTGCTGTATCGAAAAAGAAGAATCGAGTCTCGTCTCGGAAACCATAAAAATATTCGAGAGTTAAGGTCGCTGTGGGCTTCAAATTTATTTACAAGTGAGGTAATGGGTGCAGAACATAACCTTTGATATGGCAATTTCAGTTCCTGACATGAAATAGTTTCAACGTTGGTATGGCATCGATATCCTTATCAAATCTTTCTCGTGAAAGGTGTTTGTTCACTACCACTCTCTCCTTTTCAGTGTTCGCAGGAGAACTGGGAAGCAACTTGCACCTGCACATAATTGTGTTTTCCAACTTTTAGAAAAATTAAATATTTGTGAGGAAGGATCTTTCCTGTATGTTAAGGTTTCCTTGTCATAAATTGCTTTACTGAATCACTTCTTGGCGATACCCAGTTTTTAACATTTATATCAAAATAAGGTCTGATCAACATTAATATCTCAAAACAACAGCAATAATAACTTGAAATACAATAGGGAGTTCATTTAAAAACCGCACATAATTGCTCCCACGCAGCTCCCCAAATCCCTGGTCTAACATTTACTACTGTCAATACTCGAGAAAATTGTATCCAAATGCAAATGTTTGTTATATTTTTATTGAATTCGTTAAATGTTATTTATTTTATAACAAGCGAGACGAGGGTGCAGAACACAACCAAAGGTATGCTTTCACTTGCCTTGAGACAATAAGAGGAACAGCAAGTTCCGTACATGTCTTGAATGGTATTCCAAAAGGTATAGGGGAACCGCCATAAAAGCGAGAAAGTAATAGGAAAAACAGCATTTTTGGATTTCATCAGTAACTTTTGCCACTCTAATAATCAGGCCGCGGGGAGTTCTTTCAGGTCCTGGGGCGAAATCGAAAAATGCAGCCTTCTAAGAGCAGAGCGAGAAGACAATTTTCGCGAGCATGCTCTAGAAAGATAAGCTTGAAATGCATTCTGGTATAACTTTTGCAGTTATTTCTTGGAATCGTTTTAAACATTTTACTTTCTTAGACATACTTTTGCAACGTTTGACTAATTCTATTCTTAAAATGGATTACATTATGCTATGAATATAGGGGGTTAGTTCTTTCTGTATAGTCCCTTCCGTATATCCTGCATTCGAAAAATATCTCAAACACTCGTAACAGTAAGTAGTAATTTGTTACTGTTTGCAAGGGAAGCTGATTCTCTTGAGCCCTCCTAGTACAATATCACTGTGCTAATCAGAGTTGATATTTTTCGGTGTAACGAAGTAATTTCTTGCGATCATTTTATTTCCTACAGAACTGCCCAACTTCTGGAAAAGAGTATAAAACAGTGAAATTATTCAATTGTGGTTCAAAATTTCCCGTGAGAAAGTTTCTTAACTGTGAATCTCTCGTGACTAATGGTTGCACGGTCATGGGGAAAATAGCGACCTGAATTTGGCAGAGCTAGATGGGCCTGGGCATATATAATTTCTAGCTAAAAATTCTTGATCATCTGAGGTTTTCTGCTCTGAAGAGAGTCAAAGTTTTAGCATGTTTCTTTTTCACAGCAAATTCACAAATCTCGCTCTCTATCCGTTTCATTAAAGGGCATATGTTCCATTAAGCGCTGGCTAATAAAAAAGCATTTTTAGTGGAATTCCATTGTTACGTGACTTTTCATTTCTTTTTCTTGAAATGCCGTAAAAATTCACCCCGATTTCTTGCTTTGTACTAAACAAAAAAGATAATTGTGTTGCATTAGCCAATCATGTTCACGACACATGCCCTTTAAAAAGTAGAACCAAAGAAGTAATGGGTGAAAGGAAATGAAAAAATGAAATAAGATATGACATAAGGGAGAAAATGAGAAACCCCATAATCCTCTGCAATGAGTTTTAGCTTTTTAGGCTAAAAGCCTCAAGTATCTGGAAACAATGTGGAGAATCTTAAGAAAAGAGAATAATTGTGACATGGATTTTCAAAGAATGATGAATCCCCACTAAGATTACTAATACTGCAATAAAGGGTGGCAATAATGCAAAAAAATAAAATGTTGCCAGATTGCTAAAATTACGGAGCTAGCTGATATTGCAAAAGTTGCCAATACTGCAGATAGAATTGCAAAGACTTAAAATATTACAATGATTGCATAGATTGTTGACATTGCAAAGATTTCTTATAGAAAAGAAGGGGAATTCTTCTTCTTTCTTAGCCGTTTCTTCGTAATAGATGTTATGGCCGCAGGGTTGTTATATATTTCTATGCTCCCTGCTGGTATCGTTTTATAATTAATTGTTTGTTATAAAAGTTTAAAGATAGCTGATATTGCAAAGATTGCCAATATCGCAGAAAAGATTCTAAAGATTGCCTATATTGGAAAAATTGCTAATATTGAACATATAAAACAGAATGTATACAGTTTCTTTCTTTCGGCACATAGCTGGCAATATTGACCTGTTTTCAAGGAGAATTTAGCCACAAACTAGAAGATTTGAAATGATGACTTTTACTGTCATTATTGATGTGGATTGACAGTAGATGACGATATGAGTGCCTCTCACCTTTTCCATAACTCAGGGCGACGACCCGAGGGTACTCCATCCAATACCAACTTCATCAACTCTTTCTGCAAGTAAAAGCAAAGACGCATTGAAATAAAACATATATCAATTGGATACGACAATATTTTAACTGGGAATCTAGCAGGATTTCAGTTAAAGAGTTGAACTCATGAATGGAGAATCTAAACTCATAAAACTTCCGAAATTAGGCGTGACGTTAATTCTGAAATCATAGTTATTAAATTTTAGCAAGGAAAATTATAAAAGATAAAATCAAAAGGTTTGCATAGGGTGGTGATGAATTCCCACTAAGAGAAGAAGTATTCGTCTGACGCAGTGTTATTATGTTGCTCACAAAACACTTTCCGTTTACCTGTTTCGTCCTTGCCAGTATCAAATTTATGAAATAAAAAGAAACTTACCTATAAACCTAAATATTAATAGAAGAATACAAACAAAAGAAATCTAAGTTGATCCTGCCTAATACAATACCTGCGGTTATTTGAGCAAAATAGATAAGCGGAATCGAGTATCTGAGAAATAAGTCAACATAAAGCAAGAAAAGAGCATAAATTTTTATGGCCTTTGCTTTTCGACGTAGCAAATTGGAGCTCGATTCCGGCCGAGAGTGGTACTATAAAATTAAACTGCATCCTTAATCTATCTCTCCCGCTAGAAAATATCGTTCTCCTGCACTGCACATGCACGATATTTATTACCATGGACCTAATCACGTTCTGTGACGTATATTTGCTACCGAGTGCAATGTTTACTAATGTGAATATCACATATCACGGATGATATTTGATGCAGATAATAACATTCAGTATCATGGCTGATACTCAGTAGCATCATCAAGGATGAACAGATAAGTTACATACCAGAAAGAATTTCCAAATCGATTCAGAAAGATCTTTATCTCGAGGCAGCTGCTATTTGTTTCTGTCACTTCAAAATAACATCGGGCAGATTATTTGATGCCTTGCGAAATTCACCAAATAACATAACAGATTAAATTTCTAATTATTCTGGACAAAAAAACACTCACATTATAATCCCAGTCAGTATCACTCGCCGTTTCCATAAACTCCTTCCATTTTATTTCTAAATCCACTCCCTAAAATATTATTAAAGGTTGTTAGGAAATATAAACGTACGCAATCTGAGTAGCACATTGTCTTCGAAGAATCAAAATTTTATCTTAGAAGAGATATTAAGTTTTAAAAGGAACGCTTTAAAAGAGTCAATGTACTCATTGTTATACCTAGTGCAAGGAAAAGAGATGGTGTATAAAAGGGGTACAATAAGCCAGGAAGAAGAGGACTAAAAACAGCCTTCCTCACTGAAAGTTCAGGTTATTCTCACAATACAAAAAAATGATCAACAAATTCAAATAAGTAGCCACAATCAGAGCACCTTTGATTCCTTAGTATAGTGTTCCTTGAGTTGATCACAACAAAAATGAAAGGCCTGTACGGGACTTTCCCTTTCTCCATGAATGAATCCTAACTTGTCCGTGTAGACTGTGGAAATCGAGCTGGGCAGAAAAATGAAGAGTAGCAATTGACAAGTAATTCTAAACAATGGCTTGTAAAAATTACTGGCCTAGAGCCTGCATTGGTAACAAAAGTCAGTTTCCAACCATAGTCAGATGAAGGTTTTTCATCCGAAATTCAGTATACACCTAGGCATTCAAAGTCACAATATAAAAAATAGACTTGTGCTCGGAGGAGTAGCGAAAGAAAAAGGGTTTAACTTCATATTACAACGTTGTTCAATAAACGTGGAGCCCCTTTTTTGGGAACTATCATATCTATGAGAGGGAGAAAAAGAAATATGTTTATTTCAATACATTATAGTTGTTAATACCTCTTAAAGTCAGGTAGATCTTGACTGATAGCTCTGGCAGCTTCCAACATATGTAGAACTTTGTTGCAATGCTAAAAGAGAATATTCTGTAAAAATCAAAACCTGAATTCAGATTTTATCAGCTTGGAAAAGATTAAATAGGAAAAGGCAAAATTTAACAAAATAAGGATTTTTTGCAACAAAGTAGAGAAAAATTGACTCAAAACATATACCCTGTTATATTCAAGATTGGCGTCAGTCTCTTCCTCTGAAATATATAAACAAAATCATATCTCAAAAAGACTCTATCTCAAAAATAGTCTTTACTTAACAAAGTGAACAGAAAAGCAAAATAAACAAAACAGGCGTACGATATAAATTTTTTTAACAACTTGATGGTTTGTACAAAAAAGAACTTCAATCATTTTATTATGTTATAGCAGCTATTTTATTATGTATTAACAATTAAATATTCAATTGGAATGCTGAAGCATCGAACTAGAATTGAAAATAAACAAAAGAAACGCATACCTTGAGTGACAATTTCTTGGGTGACAATAACAAGATCCTTTTTTAAGGCAAGATTTTCAATCTTCAATGTTTGTATAAGACTGCAATCATGATATCAATAAGTTATAGCTTATCATAATATGCTCTTACATGACTCAATGTCGATGTATAACTGTAACAATGTTTTTTGCCGATTTATGTTTATTTACAATTAAAGGCATTTTGTCACGCCAGTCAACCGTTGAGAGCTAACAATAGGCTTTGCAGCTCATTTATGATCGAGATAACAAAAGGATTAGCCTTAAGACAACTGCTGATTGGGTACGTAGCAAAAGGTCACATGTCTAGTTAAACCAATCAGATCTTAAAAGGGTCAGCGAAATGCGTTGGAACAGAGTTGATTTTATAGATTGAATCTAGGCTTCTCCAATGCTTTTTATATATGTTTCTTTTCCAATCTCAATTCTTTTAACCTTACTGTATTATATTGTATTTATTATATTTATTTTCACTTAAATGGCATTTAAATGCATGGGCCCCCGTAAATCAGTTTCTCTGTAACTGAGGGGCTACCATGCCTAAAAAATTGAAAATGAAACGAAAAATAAAAAAATTGCTGCATTATCAAAATTTGCAATATTGTCAATCTGCAACAAAAAACTAGAAAAAAATTAGATAATCAATTCATGATATACATGCTACAAAAAAAGAAAAAATTACATTTCGCTCTTTGCAGCAGTTTCTTCTAAAGCCCGAATTCTCTCTGTCAACTTTTCAACTTCGTCGCCAAGACATTCATTATTTGAGGACAAGGCTGCACATGATTTGCATTTCCACTGAAATTAGAGTCAACAGGTAAAATGACTGGCCTACAAAGAACTGGATACACTCTTATCCATCTATTTCAAACAGCCGACTGCCGAATTATTGTAGAAAGAGCGAAACACGAGATTGGTTAATAAAGAACAAAAACAGTAATTCATATCAATTTAATTTTAAAGTGTGACGCACGTAAAATAAAAAAATACGTAACAAAAAAAATGGAACAAAAAGGCAGCACTCTTCCCATCATTGAAAACGCTCCACAGCCTAATCGTAACCGTTCCCAGTGTTCGTAACCGTTCCCAGTGTTCTTGTCCAGAGTGCGCTAAACAATTTTATTTTTTAGTAAATTAAGAGCTGCTGATGCTGGTTCATTTTGAGGATGAGGTTTGCATACCCATTAATAATGACCTTAGTAGTAGGCTTACTTTACAAGCTGGACCTTTCGAGTTTCATATATTTTTTAACGATTGTTTTTTAACTAAGCGGAAGAAGAAGTAAAAATAGGAAAATGGCTTTGAAAAAGCAAAACTTTTACAGCATGTGTAAAACCTTTTTGTCTGACACTCCTCAGAGTAAAAAACGTCAGAACAAGGGTCCGAAAAATGGAAAATAAATTGGATCCAGTTTTGGATCGAAAAAGGCCAATCAGAAAAACGCAAGCACATGACCGGTATATTTATCCAATCAATACGATGTTCCTATAGAAAAATCATCACTGAAGTCCAATAGAGAAAACTCCTTCTGTCAACACAATAGCTGCTTTTCCTTTTGTGTGTTGATCGATTCCAAAGCTGCTAGATGAACGACCAGGCTCTGCCAATCATCTGAAACATGTCCTCATTATAGACTAAGGTACAATCTGGGTTGTCTAAAAGATGTTGTCTGATTACAGAGTCACTTGTTTTAACGCTGTTGAAAGACCTACAAGGTCGAGGAGGCTGTTCTCTTTGAGAAACAGTTTTGTTTCTTATGATGGAAGGAACATGTTTTTTATCCTATCCCCCCAAGATTTGGGTTCTGCGTCCTACTTAGCCGGAATCACAGTGGCACGAAAATTCATAAACAGAACTCTTTTGGCTGGTGGGAACGCAATCCTTCAAAATGGATAGACGATGGAAGGGCTCTCCTAGTGCTGTAAATAATACGAGCATTGACAGCAAAGAAACATTGTGTGATGTCTGATGATTTGTGATTATTTAATCTGACTTTCGAACCGCGAGGAGATGTTACCAATCCACTGATATACTGCCGAAAAAACTTGCGATCTTTTCCCTAGTGTAAGAAAAAATAACATCTTCTGGATAGCCGTTGTCCAGAAAAATCGTTTTTCCAGTTTTCCGTGGTGTTAGGATTTCGAGTTGATCATAAATGCCCTGGGTACTAAAGATTTGATGACGTTGACTTTGCGTTATTTAGGGCAAAAGGTATTCCAGCGTATGTACTGACCGGTAAACGTTGGCTTGCGATATACACTAGTGAGAAATTCAGTGTCAGATTTTTCAACCCAAACGTCCAGAAATGGCAAGGAATTGTTTTCTTCCTATTTAAACCTAAACTTGAGGGCTGGGTGTAGGCTAGTAAGGCATTTAAGAAAAATATCACAATTATCCTCTGTTTTGAAAATGGTCTATGTGTCGTCCACATATCGTATTAAAGCCTGGTCTCCATATAGCTTTTATGACACGTCGCCGATGCATCACTGATGATTCTCTTCAGCCTTAAGAAACATCTCAGAAAGAATTAAGAAAAATCTCGGAATGGATGCGGATAAACAAACTAAGTGCAAACCCGAAAAAACTGAATACATGATTATTGGCCATCCACGGAGGACAAATGAAGTTAAAATTTTAAAACCACTGCAACTTAATGATTCAGGCACGATATTTCCACCAATATCAGAGAGCTCTCTACACTTAGTAAATTAAAAAAGCAGTTGAAAAGTTATTATACGAGCTGAACATAACATAAAACATGACTCCCTGGAAGAGCAGCTGCTATAAGATAGATTACTATACATAACTGGGCTTTAACTGTATATAGATTATATTAATGTAACCACGGAATTTATTTTCTTATTTAGAATTTAGTTGTAAGCTGAAGGGATCTTGTGTATAAAGAATTAAAAGAAATGAGCCTGGTTTCCATATAACTCTAACCTGGTCGACGCATCGGTAACACTCTTAATCCAGGCTTTCTAGGGAACCTTTTGACATCAGACCGTGCCTAAAGAGTGGGCATGGTGTTCACATAAAATCGCCGATAAATTAAAAAAGTAACTCAAAGAGCGAAAAATATTCGTTCTTCGCATCCCTCTATATGATCTCCTGATATTCGCTATCCTGCGGTGGAGCGCTTTCATTTACGGAGCAGTGGTTCACTTTTGATTATGATTATGGCCAAGGTCAAACTCTCAGAAATTCGCCTGACTAATGTCATAATTTTCACTAAATAGAGCTAGGTGATTGGTCAGAAGTTCCACATGGACTTATTGTTTCTGACATTTTGTGTTTTGGTCAGGCTATTTCGGAATTGCCTTACTAATTGTTAAGGAAACAATAAAGTTCGAGGATAATCATTTTTGCCACTGTCTTGAGAACAATCAGGCGCCTTATTTCATTGGCTAGGGATATATGTTTTGTGTTGTGCAGAAATAATACCTAGAGGAAAACATGAATTTGGTCAGGCTCATTCGAAATGTGTAAGAAGGAAGAAACGCAGGATAGGCTGTCCGCCGGATTCTGTGAATCTTGCGATGAGTGTGTTGGGAACGTGCACTCAACAGTTACGTAATTGCTGCGTTTGTAAGTAAACTAATGACCTTCGTAATTAGTAGCTAGTGTAGGACACGTGTTAGAGTAGATTGCTTGCTGCTCTATTGTCAGCTAATTAGAAGCTTCTAGAAAGTTCTAATGATCGCTGAGGTAGAACTTTTTAGCACGCGTCACGTAGAGTTTAGATAGTTGCATGTTTCGCAGTGAACAAGTCGATAGAGTCTCAAAACAACAGAGTGTTGTTATGAAAGATATACAGGAACAAAGCAATACTACGACATAAAACAACGACTGGACTGCAACTCCACCAACATCATATACGCATTACAATGCAAACGCTGTCTACATAACGGAAACAAAAACTGCCAATACATCGGACAAACTAGCAGACGACTTAAAGACAGATTTAACGAACACCGACGAGACATTATCAACAAAAAAGAAGACAAGTCTGGAGTTGCAGAACATTTCTGCAGCCCAGCACACACCATAAACGACCTTGCCATCACACCACTACTTAGACTTAATGACAAACGAGAGAGTGTTCGTCGAGCTAAGGAGCAATATCTCATTGGCCTGGCGAACACCCTCACCCCCAACGGCATGAACAGAACTACCGACCGTTAACTTTACAAAACAAATTATCACCTATCACGCCGCCCTCACAACCCACACCATATTTTCCCTACCATTATAATCATCTTCATCACAATTACTATCATCAACATTCCATTATTCTCAGTTCCATCACAATTATTATTATTATTCTTGTTTTTTATATATTCATATTCATAGTCATCATTATCATCCCATTGCATCAATCTCCATAGCACCACCCACATCCCCTTACATCACCCACCACCCTTCCCTCCCCCACTTCCATCATCCCAATTTTTCTCCACTGCGCTGCATTCACACCATTCAACATCCACCAATCCGGCATCACCATCTCACATTTCAAATTCATTCATTTGGGCGTGGTCAAAAGGGCGTGGCATATTCGTATCTGAGCCTGACCGTCCCAACAGACCTGGCTTCGCCATTGTCGCCAACAGACCTGGCTTGTGGGAGTATTTTCATAAAACTTTCTCTCGTCGGCGAGGCATAAAAGATGTCTGGAAACCAGACTTAAAACACCTTGTTTTTTGTTGTAGTCAAACAACTGCTTTTCATGAAAGCCAACAAAGATATTGACCAAGGCAGGTCCCAAAGGGCTACCAATAGCGACACCATCCTTTTGTTGGTACATTTCATTGTTCAAACTGAATTCAACTGAGGGTGTCGCAGTTTCCATCAGTTTAATGAAAATAAGAAAGCAACTCAAATTGATTGCATTTTAAGGTGTGAAAATACTTAAAAAATACGCAACAAAAGAAGCCTAACAGAAAGACCGCGTTTCTAACTTTGACACTCTTCAGGATGCGGTAAACAATTCTATTTTCAGTATTTTCATGATAAAAGTTTCATACCGCAAAAGAGGCTTTATGAACAGCACGAGGAAGCTGTTTAGATGTTTATTGATATGTGTTGATAATGAAAGTGTGGGGGAGAATTTAGGAATACTTAACAAAAGAATCAAATACAGGTTTAAAAGAACGATACTCTCGCTCAGTGGAAGGAATATATTGGAGAGTTATTTCACGATGTGAAAAACCATACCAAAGATTAAAGATGCAATTGAGGGACCCAAGAATCTAAAGTCAGCAGTTCATGCTGCGATTAAACAGATGAAAAAGAACAAAGCGGCAGGGCCAGATGGAATGTTGTCGAAATGGTAAATGCATGAGAAGAGTACGGAATAGAAATATTGACGAATGTAGTCAATAAAATGTAAATGGCTTTGAAAAAATCAAACATTTAGTGAACTAAAGCTTTTCGTCTGACACTCTTCAGAGTTTAAAACGTCAGAACATAGATCGAAAACTCTACGCTAAGAAATATATATATCTAAAATCTAAAACTACCCTGGATCGGTAACAGCTCCCTACGTTTTGAAAGCCAAATAAAATAGGCCATAACAAATTGTTTTTTCGCGGTTAACCCACGTGTTGTTTACAGTACAAAAAAGGCCCTTCCGTCCATTCAAAAGGACTGCGTTCCTGCCACAAAAAAAGTTCTGTTGTTTATGAATTCACGTGCCAGTGTGATTCTGGCTACGTAGGACGCACCACCCAAAGATTGGAGGATAGGATAAAACAACACGTTCCATCTAATATTAGAAACAAAACACATCCCCAAAAAGAACAGCCACCTCGGTCTTGCAAATCCAAAATTACTAATAAAACCTGCGATTCTGCTATCGGGCAGCATTTGCTAGAAAACCCATATTGTGCAAAAAACTATAATGGCGACATGTTTCGGATTATTGGTAAAGCCCGATCGTCGTTCCACCTAGCAGTTTTAGAATCTATCTACATAAGCACGAAAAAACCGCTACTGTGTAGACAAAAAGAGTTCGTTTTCACCTTAGGACTCCATTGGTAACATTCTAATAGGCAAGCGGCACTGATTGGTCAACCTTTACAGTCATGTGCTCGTGTTTCTGATTGGCCTATTTCGTTCCACAACTGGGTATATATATTTCTTAGCGTAGAGTTTTCGATCTATGTTCTGACGTTTTAAACTCTGAAGAGTGTCAGACGAAAAGCTTTAGTTTACTAAATGTTTGATTTTTTCAAAGCCATTTAGAAGTTTTGTACCACCAAAAGATTGTTCAATAAAATGTATGATGATGGAAAATTTCCCGATGACTTAAGAAAATCTGTTTCATAGCTCTTCCGAAAAAGTCAGGTGCGGTGGAATGTGAACAATACCGTACCATTAGTCTCATGAGTCACATCACAAAGATCATTTTGAGAATCCTCCTCATGAGACCTAGAAACAGAATCTCACCAGAGCTTGGAATATAGAGCAGTTCGGTTTTGGGAAAGACTAGGGAACTAGGAATGTGTTTTTTGTGCTGAGGATTATAACAGAAAGAGCTTTGGAAATGCAAAGAGATGTGTTCATCTGTTTCATTGACTACAGCAAGGCGTTTGATAAAGTTCGTCATGGTGACATGTTTGAGGAACTCCAAAAGCTGGATATGCATGGAAAAGATCTTCAATTGCTGCAGAATCTCTACTGGAATCAATCTGCTTGCATTAGAGTCGATGGTGAATGCAGTCACTACACAGATATTGCGACAGGAGTTGGACAAGGATGTGTGATGTCGCCAGATCTTTTCAACTTTTACGCTTAAAAGATCTTGAGAGAGATTAATAACAAGAATGGTCTGAGGGTAGGTGGAAGCAATATCACTAACATAAGGTATGCAGATGACACAGTTTTGTTAGCCGAATCTGCCAGTGATCTACAAAAGCTTCTTGATGTTGTCGTAAAAAAGAGTGAGAAAAAAGGTTTGACTAAAAACTGTAAAAAAACAGAATGTTTAGTCGTTTCAAAGAGAAGGGAACGTCCCGTGTTCACGCTGAGAGTAATGAACCAGAAAATTAAACAAGTCTCGTCTTTTAGCTATCTAGGCAGTGTAATAACCGAAGATGCTAGATGGGTTACAGAGATCAAACGAAGGGTAGCTTTAGCAAAATTTGCTTTTCAAAATTTCAAAATTTTCATAACATTTTGAGACACTGCAAGGTGAGTATGTCAACGAGATTTCGTGTGCTAAACTGTTATGTCTATCCTGTCCTGTGCTATAGACGTGAGGCTTGGACATTAACAGTAGATTTGAAGAAGCGCCTGGAAAGATGCGAGATGTGGTTCTTAAGGAAGATGATGAGAATACCTTGGACAGACAAGGTGAGCAACGAAGAAGTTCTTGCAAGAGCCGGTGTAAATAGAAGGCTTATTAACGACATCAGAATGAGACAGATGCGTGTCTTGGGGCATGTGCTTCGGAAAGAGGGACTTGAGCTAACTGGAAAGATAGAGGGGAAGAGAAGCAGAGGAAGGCAGATAATACTGTGGATGAATAGCCTAGCTGGATGGATCCATACAAATGGTATAACAATCAAGGAGACGGATTTAATACACATGACTAAGAACAGAGAACTGTGGCAAAGCATGATCGCAAAAGTCTCATGACATGGCACCAAAGAGAGAGAGAGAGAGAGAGAGAGAGAGAGAGAGAGAGAGAGAGAGAGAGAGAGAGAGAGAGAGAGAGAGAGAGAGAGAGAGAGAGAGAGAGAGAGAGAGAGAGAGAGAGAGAGAGAGAGGGAGAGAGAGAGAGAGAGAGAGAGAGAGAGAGAGAGAGAGAGAGAGAGAGAGAGAGAGAGAGAGAGAGAGAGAGAGAGAGAGAGAGAGAGAGAGAGAGAGAGAGAGAGAAGAGAAAAAAGAAAGAGAGAGAGAAAGAGAGAGAGAAAGAGAGAGAGAAAGAGAGAGAGAGAGAAAGAGAGAGAGAAAGAGAGAGAGAACAAAAGAATCACAACATAAAAGTCAGCGTTTTTGCTGTGAAACGAAAGAAAGTTCGTTCAAACCAAAGTCAATATAGAAGGGAGGACCACGTGACTTGTGAAATTGTGAACAAAAAGTTAAGACAATAGGTTTCCAGACCATTCTATTGACTTTGTTCAAAGAAACCAAGACATACAGTTATCATACTAAAAATTATTTACCATGCAAGCGGATCGCTTAAAATGAGCATCGGCAAGCTTGTCTGAATTATTGGGAATGACAGTCAAGCCCTCTCGTGTAGGGACCCTATTTTCATTCAGAACTAAAAGAAAATTAATTACAGGCTAAGTACAAAAAGAGCTTTTAATCAAAGTCTACTGCTTACCTTTTTGGTTGAAGCACTTGAGTCACGAGCTGACGGAACGGAAAAGCTGCTGAATAAAGCACCGTGATTAGCAACAGTTTTAGCAAAAATCAAAAGCACATGTGAATAATACCTGATCAAGTTCGAGCATTAGAATTGAAAATCACAAATTCTGAGTTTCTTGGTATAACCTATATTCTTAAACTAGCAATACAATACTATATTCTGAAAAAAAAAAGTCACAGATAGTCATCTCTAGTAAGTACATCTATCGTAAGGTATTTGCAACAAAGTAATACGATTCTTGTAATTTATGTAATCACAAGGGTTGAATGCAAACGGCAACAACACAAGCAAGCGTGCACGAGTGCTGCTATCATCAGCAACTACTTTTTGGAAGGTATCATAAAAACACGATTTGAGAATAATCAGAATTATCTTCCTTTAATAGTCGGAGCACGTTGAAAAGAGTATATATATGAAAATTTGACATACTTTGAGGAAAAGTCTCCTGATGACTGTGAATTCGGAATTTTATTTTCATTTGCAGAAATGTCGACATCTTCCTTATCTCTCACGTTGGAAGAGCTGTTACTGGACCATCGAAAACTCCAGGGTAGAAAGACACGACGCTTTCGGCGATGACCTGAATCAAAACATCAATCTCAGCATTTCACTTCCTAACGAATATTGCATCTTTATCAAAGTCACAATCTCTGTAAGCTGACATCACTTAACAATTGATTTTTCATTTAAATCCAACTAATCAGAATATCACTGATAATATTCATGCAATAAATATGTGAGAATTATAAACTGCACACTTTCTAGATAGCCGAATAAATCAAAAAGAACACAAGCAGTATTGCATAAAAATCAAGAAATACAATTAGATAAATAATTAACGGATATACACTTACGGCGTCTTGGAGACTCGTTCAAGTCACTCAAAGACATGCTTAACTGCACAGGTTTTTGGAAAAGGGCCTACGGCGATATGATAAATCTCAATAAATGAATAGATACAACTGAATTACAGCACAAAGGTGAAACATTAAAAATTTTTATAAAAAAAGGGAACGTGAATGGTTAACTCATAGCACACTATAGATGCATCTAATATTTGGAAAGTTTCTTTGATACATACAGATAAAGCCTTTAACAAGGATCAACAGAACTCAACAAATGAAAACTCATAGAATTACCCCTATTCTCTTCCAGCAGTTTTGACAACTGCAAAATCAACGGAAAAACATATAACAAATTTGTGGTGAATAAATCTAGTCCTTTACCATGAATAAAAACGTGATTACTTTTCAGTTAAAAGTGATACGAACCTCGTCATCATCGATTGTATTGAAATCCAACGATTTTGTGCGTTTTTCTAGTAACGTCGTTTGTATATCTTTATCTGGATAGACCTTTTCCTAAAAAGGTTTTTAGCAAGGAATGCAAGGAATGCTAGAACAGGCTTAATAAGTGAAGTATGCGTACAAAAGAAGCATTTATATTTGATACTGGCAAATAAAATAATAAACGATTTTCCTGGACTGCTGAGAGCTACGTTATTGTAAAAGAGTATAAACGTCACTCAGCACAGACTACTGTGAGAAGAATTAGGATAAACACTAAAAAAACAGCTGATCGTCAACAATGGGAGTGTTGCCACAGCGAATGAATCCAGTCAGCCTGTTTTTCGAATTCATTCATACAAGACTAAATAGTTATCTATTATTCGATCTAATGTAGGGCAAAATTTTATTGAGCAACTGTTTTGATAAGACACGCGACAGGGACCTATGAAGAAAAATTCGAAAACTCTAACCCATCAAGGGTTTCTGTTTCTTTCATAACACTGTTGAAAGTTAAAAATTAATTTTGAAACGAGGCTTGCGGTATCATAGCTGTGTCATCAAAAGGATATGTGTTAATTGAGATGAGAAATTTATCTAAAAATCTTCTGGCGATTGTTTTAAGTTGGTCTAGTGGAGGCCCTTATTAGAAGCTGTGCTTGTATCTTATTTTTTATAGTTGAAATAAATGGAGAAAAAGAAAATAAAATAATATAACAGAAGCAATTGATCTGGCATCGCTCTGGTTTGACGATGGCGGGTTGTCTCCTATGTAAATTTTGTAACAAAGGACCAAGTCAGGGTTGTAAATCCCGGGGGGGGGGGGACGGGGGGACTAAACCCCCCAAAAATCTTTAGCAAAACGACTTTTTTGAGAAATTATTGTCATTTTCTTTTAAAGAAAGGAATCCCTGGTAACTGGGTTAGAACTAAACTAAGTTTTTACGTGTTCTTGCAACAAACCTCAGCCACTCTATGTCATGATGTCATAGACCAGGCTACAGTGGCGGTAGGTACCACCTCAGGGCGGAGAAATTCAAATGGATATTTTCAAGTAGCTATTGGTCTGGTTACTTGGAAAAGTGATGGTGAACGGGGAATTGTTGGGGTTTAAGGGGTAAATACGGGGGTTAAAGTTCGTCATATTAGCATATTACCTCTGCGGAGGAGCCACTGTTTTGTTTACGACTTCAGAGCATGTCAAGTGCTTGTTATCATAAAAAAGTAATGGAGTCTTTTAGAGCCTCTTCTTTTAATTCCGACATATTGCTACAATTAGAGTCGTCACGTGACCAGTTTTTTACCCCTTACCATATTTGGAAGGTGATCGTTTTCTAACAGAATACCTGAATTTTTTTTGTTTAATACTCTTAAATGTTACAATAATGTACAAATCATCAAGATTATTCTACAACCGAGCTGTTGTTGATAGATACCCTGAATAACTTCGAGTTTATGACTGTTTTTAACTATGACTATGTGTAGAATAATGGTTGCGAAGACATGATAATTTATTAGGTCCGTTTGATTTCATCCGCATTTGGTTATTTCGTGATGACTCCACAACTCCTTCAGATGCTGGGCAACTTTTTTCGCAATTCATCGCTTTGAAAATATTTGTACAAATAGTAACACGAATATGTAACGCAATGAACTCAAGAAATCACGGAAATAAGTAGCAGAACAAAAATATCAGTGTGCATCATTACCAAGAAAGAATTGTTTTGCTCTAAGCGTCATTTTCAATATATGTAAGTTGCTATTTTCGCTCTAAAAATTGGATACTCTGTGTACCTTTAAAGTATTGAGGAGGTCCTGTTTTATTTATATTTTTAAACATGCAAGGCCCAAGCTGTATTGTTCATTACCCGAGCAAAGATTGTCTGTACAGTATTATCAAAGATTTGTCTGACATCAATAAAGATCAAATTGCAAAGGCTACTCGTTTACGACTTGATGGCAAAAATCTCCACGAAGAACAATGCAGCTCCATTCCTGACGAGGTTGATCCAAATAAGCACGAAGTTCACTTAGAACCTTGTTATAAAAAATTTACAAAGATCCTGTCCCATTAGAAATTCCTCGCAGAAACTAGCACTGAAGCTATTCAGCGTCCACAAAGACTAAAGACTGCAGCTACTCAGAGACCAGATGTTTATCCCAAGGTGCGTAATTTTTGCCAAAAGTACCGGGTAAAGAGTCAACAGAAACATCATGTACCAATAACGATC